TTTTGTTTGTTTTTCTGTTTGTCTTCCTTTGGGTTTTTTTGTGGGGTTTTTTTGTGGCTTTTTTTGTTTGGTTGGGGTTTTTTTTGTTTTTTTTTGTTTGTTTGTTTTTCTGTTTGTCTTCCTTTGGGGTTTTTTGTGGGTTTTTTTTGTGGCTTTTTTTGTTTGGTTGGGGGTTTTTTTGGGTTTTTTTTGTTTGTTTTTCTGTTTGTCTTCCTTTGGTTTTTTGGGGTTTTTTTGTGGCTTTTTTTGTTTGGTTGGGTTTTTTTGTTGTTTTTTTTTGTTTGTTTTCTTTTGGATGTTTTTATTTGTTTGCTTTTGGCTTTTTGTTTGTTTGTTTTGTTTTTTTAAAATTTTATTTTTTGTGGGTTTTTTTGTTTTGTTTGGGTTTTTTTTAATTTTTATTTTTTCTTTATTTTTTTAATTCAAAACAACTTTAACCCCAAAAAACTTTAACTCCCAGTCCTCTCTCCCTTGAAAAAACCCTTCATTCCTTCACATCTTGAATTAATCCCTCCCTTGTTTTGGCATCTCCTCATTATCACACAACCGGGGCCTCCTGACCCCGCTCGGAAACTCCATTAACGCCTCATTTCCAAGGCTTTTTATTCCCTTTCCAAAGGTTCCCGGCGTGTCCTGAAGGCAGAGACTCTCCTTAAACACCAGCACTCTGAGCCCGGGATAATTAGGGGGGCACTGGAGGTCGGGATAATTGGAAATTATCCCTGGAAAGGTCGTGGAGAGGTCTGAAAACAGGGAAAGGAGGGAGGGAAGGAGGAGGAAAATCTACCTGGGGGAAAGGAAGAGAGGGATGAAGTGAAATCCCGTGGGAAGAGGGGATGTGAGAGAGGGATGAAGCGAGATCCCATGGGAAGAGGGGATGTGAGAGAGGGATGAAGTGGAATCCCGTGGGAAGAGGGGATGTGAGAGAGGGATGAAGCGAGATCCCATGGGAAGACGGGATGTGGGAGCTTGGAAGAGGAGGGAGAGGTGGATGTGGAAGAGGAGGGAGATGTGGGAGCTTGGAAGAGGAAGGAGATGTGGATGTGGGAACTTGGAAGGGGAGGGAGATGTGGGAGCTTGGAAGAGGAGGGAGAGGTGGATGTGGAAGAGGAGGGAGATGTGGATGTAGGAGCTTGGAAGAGAAGGGAGAGGTGGATGTGGAAGAGGAGGGAGATGTGGATGTGGGTGCTTGGAAGAGAAGGGAAATGTGGGAGCTTGGAAGAGGAGGGAGAGGTGGGAGATTGGAAGAAGAGGAGGGAGATGTGGATGTGGGAGCTTGGAAGAGGAGGGAGAGGTGGATGAGGGATCTTGGAAGAGGAGAGAAATGTGGGAGCTTGGAAGAGGAGGGAGATGTGGGTGTAAGAGGGAGATGTGGATGTGGGAGCTTGGAAGAGGAGGGAGATGTGGATGTGGGACCTTGGAAGAGGAGGGAGATTTGGATGTGGAAGAGGAGGGAAATGTGGATGTGGGAGCTTGGAAGAGGAGGGAGATGTGGGAGTTTGGAAGAGGCGGAAGATGTGGATGTGGGAGCTTGGAAGAGGAGTGAGAGGTGGGAGCTTGGAAGGGGAGGGAGGTGTAGGAACTTGGAAGAGGAGGGAGATGTGGATGAAGAGGAGGGAGATGTGGATGAAGAGGAGGGAGATGTGGATTTGGAAGAGGAGGGAGATGTGGATGTGGGATCTTGGAAGAGGAGGGAAATGTGGGAGCTTGGAAGAGGCAGAAGATGTGGATGTAGGTGGGAGATTTGGATGTGGGAGCTTGGAAGAAGAGGGAGATGTGGATTTGGAAGAGGAGGGAGATGTGGATGTAGGAGGGAGATGTGGATGTGGGAGCTTGGAAGAGGAGGGAGAGGTGGATGTGGGAGCTTGGAAGAGGAGGGAGATATGGATGTGGGAGCTTGGAAGAGGAGGGAAATGTGGGAGCTTGGAAGAGGAGGGAGATGTGAGAGCTTGTAAGAGGAGGGAGATGTGGATGTGGAAGAGGAGGGAGATGTGGATGTGGAAGAGGAGGGAGATGTGGATGTAGGAGCTTGGAAGAGGAGGGAGATGTGAATGTGGGGACCCATCTGGGGACACATCTGGAGGGGTTTGGTCCCAGCCCATCTCACCTGTGGTCCTGGTTGTCCCTGTGGTCCTTGAAGTCCGTCTGCTCCAGCAATTCCAGCCTTCCCGGGCCATCCCATCCGTCCCTTGAAGCCTCCCAATCCAGGAACTCCTTTGGCTCCCTGGGAATCACCAACAGAGGTGGGTTTAGAGATGTTCCAGTCAAACATCATCCAACTGCTCCCGTGGCTTTGGGAATAGCGGGATACCATTCCCATCCCGCTTTGGTGGAGGAGGAAGAGGCCGCTTTGGCTTCACTCTCCACCTTTCCTTGTCCTTCTCTGGGATGATCCCCAACAATTCCTAATTCCCAGCTCTCCCAGAGTCCTTTAATCTATAACTTTGGGAAAAATGGGGAGCACTGATCCATAAAATCCCGACTCATCTGCACCCTCGGGATTCATCCCGAGAGAGGGAAACAATCCCGGGAAACACAACAGAAGGAAAAATCCAACCCCCAACCTCCAGCGAGGATGGAAAACAGGGATCTGTGGGAAGGAGGAGGACAGGAGAGACAGGGAATGAGATCCCAAATCCCACTGGGATGCAGGAAGGGACCGAGGGGCTGGAAAATGCCAAAAAAACACTGGATGGGACCTTCTGGGATCGTTGGATGTTTTCCTTTCTCCTTTTTTTTTTTTTTAAAGGAGTAATTGTTTTAACTGAAATCCCATTTTTTTTTCCCCCTCCCCCTTCCATGGAAAAGCCCCAATTTTTTCTTTTTTGGTTGCGTTCTTCCAAATTTAA